TGCACCACGTGGAGGTAAGTCTATCGCACACCCCAGTTAAATAAAATAAACCACCAAAGTGTTGAATATTCCATCAAAACATTTTGAATTTACTGGAGACATAAGATCTCAAACTAACTTAGATCATAAGTCAAAATCTGGGATATGCTACAAGCCGAAACTGGTATTCAATATTTAACGTTTATTGATTTTTATGCAAATTTAAATCTGTTTTTTTTTTGAAACCACTTAAGGGATTAGCATTCAATTTATTTCTTCTTAGTAAATAAGAATTCAAACTTTTTTCTTAAATTGTGAAATTAGAATTTAAAATGGAAGTGTGGAAGTCACTATTGTTACGACTATCTCAGTGCAGAACCCAAATATTTTGTGTACTTGAGCTAAACGAATTTGAGATATTAGAGGAAAAATTGCCCTACTGAAATATTCACAAGTCAACAATTTCGATTTGTGAGGCCTTCCCACTTATCTTTACAAGACAATATGTAGATTTTGAAAGTTGACAAACATTGTGATTGACCATCAATAATGTACGATCAAATATTTATACTTTCATTGGTCTCATGGGAATCAGTGCAATGAGATATTTTAGACCCGGCCAAATTCTGCATGTTGGCATGAATATAATTAAATTTGTTTAAACTGAAAACACGAGGCCTTAAATTATGAATCATTCACCAAAATGATATGAGTTTTATTCCATTCCAAATAGCTAGGCACAATTTCAAACAGCCCACGGCGTCGCAACTAAGCGATGCCCATAGCTACCAGTAAGTTACCAACTACCGACACACGAGCTGCATTTTATCTTTGTCCTTTTTCTCTCTTTCTCTTGAAGCACGTCCTCGCATGACCTTGCCAATCACTGCTCGGGAGACTGCAATTTGAACTAATCGCCACATACCCTGCTCAAAATGCATGCGGAAAGCTCCTTGCCAGCATCATTTGAAAAAAAAACAAATTTTAACTTGCCTTGTGAATAAATCATGCTTTATTTATGCACACTGATATTCACTTACTTTTTTAGTAAAACCTGAAGAAAATAAATCAAAAATTGCAAAAAGGTTTAAATATGAACAAATTTATACTTTGCGTGTTAGTGCATTTTTAGCTAATATGAAGTATGAAATGTTGGGTTATATTGGAGCCTAAAGCGAAAGGGCTTCCTGAATGTTTATTCGTATTGCTCATTTACAGCAAAAGGCTTTTCCTCAAGAGAATTTTTTCACATTTTAAGGCTTGGTTCCTCAATAAGTGATTATTGATTTAAGAAGAAATGCAGTTATGACTGTTTGAATCAGTCCATTATTTCATGCTAATATTTTGGGAAAATTCCCACTTAATGGGCCAGAGATCATCTTGGTAGCTTGAATACGATGAGCCAATTGACGCTCATAGTGAGCCGTCATATGACACCTAAGTGTGGAGATGGTGATTCCGGAAGCATTCACTTCCCATCGAATTGCTTGAAGCTAACATAGTCCCCAATTTTATTTCGCTACTGAAAATATTTAAGTAGAAGTATATACTTTTGCTTTAATGAATATTTAGACCGCATGGATATAAAAATGACTTCCAGAATAGAAAAATTAATATCGAGCCTCGGAGAATTCCACGACCTACTCAAACTTTCATCGCGAATAACTCAAATGGTATGGATCCGTTTGGTACTTAAGTTATTATGATATTGTCATAAAAATATACCTAGTTTTCTGTTATTCAAGGTCAAAATGACCCGCCAATTAATAATTCGAATAGAACTTCCTTCAATGGTACTGGGAAAATAACAATTCCCGCTAGACCCATTCAACAGACAAATGTAACTTCTTCCACCTTCCGGATTCAAATGCCCGTCTCAGGGACCTCTTCAAAGCACTTGACGCCACCGAGAAATCATGTAAATTTAATGCCCACACCCTCAGGTGATATGAATAATAATCGGTCGATACATTCAAGCATCTCAATGCGCCCAAAGAGTCCCATTTATACAGTGACAACCCGAAGTCGAAGTGTCGGTCCTACAATCATTCCCCCACCACCAAATGCCAATGCATATCCTTTCGTCACTGACCTCTCAAAAGGACTCAAAATTATCTCGAATACTGGCAATGCTAATAACCAAATTGCCTCAAGAGTTCAAGCACTGCCCCCAAAGAAGTTCATCTTAGGGCGGGTAGCTTCCAATGAGGATATTTGCATTGAAACAGAAACACCATTTGCTTTTAGTATTGCTGCTAAGGGGAAGCAGATTTGTATTTCCAAAGTGGCATCCGCAGATGATCTCCAGAGACCCCTTTTAGGAGGTCTTTTCAATGCTGAATTAGCGAATAAGGCAGAAATTGGTGAAGGGATCCCTGTGTCTTTGAGGTTGACCTTTGGTTCGACCCCATGCGTCAGTTCAATTGCTTCAAAACAGGTCCCTAGAGAGCCCGCTTTGCACAAAACTTTCAGATCAGTTCTGCATATTGATATGTCCAGTTCTGGAAATTCTACGGGAAAGAACCTTGCCAGACCACAATACCGGGCACCAAAACCTCTGGTGAATGGAACATCATATAGAAATAGTCTTCCATCTTTACCAAGACCGCCAAGACAAACTCAGGGCGCCAATTTGACATTTTTTGAGCAAGATATATGGTACGAATGGCAAGTTTAAATGATTCCTTTCGTCTTCACTTCTTTAATTGAATTTTGTATTCTTCCTCAAACCTCTTGTTTTACGTTTTAGAAACGAGCGTCATTCTCTTGCCAAATAGGGGAACTTATTTCATGCCGACATGTTGGCGATTCGCAATTAAAGGAATGTTGATAACTACTTACAAACTGGTGATGCCCTATTTTAAAATTAACTCTATCCAGATAGAAAAGTATCGCCGATTGATGTGCAAGTATTAATAAACCATGCCTCAGAATTTTTTAACTTCAATTCCTCTTTTCGAAACTGGTGGGTAGGGGGGGGGGGTTTGAAATTTAAGCAACAATTTACATTTGATGGTTAAATATTCAATTAGAGAAATGGGGCTTAAGTCATTCCTTTTTTGATCAGTTCACTAAAAAACAGATATATACTATAATACCGTTTGTGTGGCAAGTATGAAAATTCGAACTGATTCAACAAACATTTATTTATTTCAAATGGTAGACGTTTTGATAGTCATCATTGGCCATTTAGCTGACGTCGGACTTCAGAGAGGGGAGGAGCATCGAAGTGTTTTAGAAGCCCAACAAGCTTCAAACAATAACAGCAATCCCCCCCCCCCCCCCCCCCCCCCCACCCCCCGCCTAGCTCCCAGGTATAACATGTTGCAGGCCCAGTGATGAAGTGCTAGAAGTTCTGAGAACAAAGAAGGTATCGTGTGGAGGGTTTTTAATCTGAAAGCCTGCTACTTAACTACAGTTAACTTAACTCCGTAGAAATATTGAACGCTAATTGCCTGGAAGACCATGACAAGTACGTCGTGTTCCCCGACCAAACCCCCCTCCCCTCCCCTTCACCTCCCCCTGAATACATAGTCGGTGGCACGCGGCAATTTTCAGTTCACTTTATTTCGTAAGGAGACCTCTGATCAGCCTTGGTAGCATTGTATGCTCCACAAGATGAAACAGGCTGTTAGAACGCAACTGAAATTGATTATTCTATTTAATTATTTACACAAAGGCGAGTTATTCCTCCAGTGAGGATGTGGTGGTCATAGCATGAAGTGCGAAGCCACAAGGGACAATGCTTTCTCGAGTCTGGTTATAACGCAAGCGACCTTTTAACTGAAAGCGCAAATTTTAAAGTAAAAAAATGTTTGAAAACACCAAATGAATCACTTTTTTTAAAAATGGCGTTGGATTTATTTAAAGGAAAATTTCACTAAAGTGTAGTTAAAAAGTTTCTCGATTGAAGCATCGAAAAGATTTGAGGTCTCAGTAACCATGGCTTGGAATTTAGAACTGTGTGCAAGAAATTTTGTCAATTAGGTCGAATCGAAATGCTTTATATTTTCGCCAATTTTTCAGATAAGTTTTATTTGAAACGAAACATGTGTGTTCAAGTGTTCTTAAAAACTTATTATTAACTTTGGGTAATTCAACTTATTTGTAGAAAAATTGTACAAAAAATTCAATTTGTCCGCCTCTCTTCATTGCGTCAGTTAAGGCGGACGTATTCAACTTGTATTTGATTGGCCATTCGTCTCGTTCTCAATTAACTCACCCCACAAACACGCAAAACTTGGCCAATTTTGTTAAGTCATTGTTAAGTCATGAAACATGGTCAAACATCGTTTGCTGCAGGGATTCTTGCTGTTGACGCTTAGTCTGCCAGTTCCATGCCAAGCAGAAGGCAGTGAGTCTAGTGGTGAAGCACATCAAGTTGATACGGGGAAATCAGAGGGCCAGGAAGCTCAATCCAGGAAACCTCCAATTCAACGTGAAAAGTGGTGGCATGACGCACTCAAAAGTGACTGTAAGGTTGCAATTATTGAATATTACTTTAACTAAGCAAGTATTACCTATTGCCTCAGTTTGGTAGCTATTTAACTTTGCGCATGCCTAGTCTAAAATACTACCATTCCTTCTTGTTTAATATAGTCTTATGATTTTGCATTCATTGTGGATTTTAAGATGAAATATTTCTCCCTTTCATAACCAAGTGGATATTGTAATAGTTTTTTAAATATTTTTTGGGAATATAAAATGTAACAATTTCTGGTGCTTCGAAAACCTAGCTATATTAATTAGATCTGAATTTGAAGGTTTGAAAGGTCATTGGACTTATTTTTTGAAAATATTTGCTGTGTACCGTTGATTTGTTGAAAAAGGGAGCGTTTTAGGCGCTATTCGAAATACGTTGGAACTCAGACTAATTTCGATAGTTGTAATCAGTGATACATCTGACGGTGTGCCTTTCATACAGGGTGTCCCGAAAAATATTTGCACACTTAGAATAAAAGAGCTGTAACCGGCTCCATTTGCTTGAACTTTCTGTAGCAGTCTGTTTTGCCAAGCATTAGAGAAGACTTTGAAGATGAAGTGTTCAAAGTCTTCTCAGCAAGATGGGACACCCCCCCCCTCTCCCCACATTATCATCGCAATGTTAGGTCTTTCCTTGATGAGGTCGTGCCAAGCAGGTGGATTGAACGAAGAGGTTTTGTTGAATATCCACCCCATTCACCAGACCTCACACCACTAGATTTTTGTTCTTATGGGGATACTTAAAAGACAAAGTCTACGCTACGAAACATGCAACAGCCACTGAATTAAGAGAAGCCATTGAGCATGAATGCGTCAAAATGCCAAGGGAATTATTTCGTGAGGTGTGGACAATTCCATTGCTTGGCGTTATGAGCAGTGGCTGGATCAAAATGGACGTCAGTTTGAGAACAGGCAGTGAAAAATTATTAAATTATAATTGCAAAATATTTTTATACATTTGAAATAGTAAAATTATATTTGATCGCCACGGTTACAGTTAGTTTCAATGTGTATTTTTGCTTGTTTTTGGGATACTCTGTATATTAGAGACGTCTTGGCATGTGAAATAATGAAAAGCGGGAGTACAATTACTTAACTCCATTAAAGTATTCTTTTACTGGAAAGCATTCTCATGCATTCAAATTTTGTGAAGATCTGGCGAAATTAAATTTCCACAAAATTTCGTGAATTTCCTCTCATTCTTACCGTGGCCCTGATTGTACATTCCAAAAAGGCCCATTTTTGTACTTTTAGTCACACCCAAGGCCAAAATAGCCTCGGAACAGGAATACGAGCTGACAAATCACCTCTTTAACGAGCAGGGCTACAATCCTCTTATTCGGCCGGTTGCAAACGCCTCCGAAGCTCTGCAAGTTGACCTTGGACTCTGCATGATACAACTCATTTACATTGTAAGTATTTTGTCAAGCAGGTAATTGTTTCAACGCACTCTTAAGCCTTACAGCAAACACACTTCTCGTGGTTTAACAGCGTGGCAAACATTCTAACCTTGTGAAAGAATACCTCATATTTAGACATATTAATCTGCAGCTTATTTTTTTAAATACGAGACCATTTGGAAATATGTATAAAGAACGAATAATCTTTAAATATTTTGAAACGTTGTGCAAAGGTTGATTTTGACAGTTAAACAACATTTATTAAAAACTTTCTTTGAAATTTTTTAAAATAAATGTGAATTGGACTTACTTGAAGACAATTTTGGAACTATTGGAGGAAGACTAGGTACCGACTATTGTCACCTTTTGATTGAATTCAATTAACTGTTTTTGGCTTCTTACGAATATTTTTTTCTGCAATTTATCCAAATGGGCGTCCTTTAAGGAGCATTTCTTGTTGTTTAAATATAACAAATTTGACCAATAAATGTCGTTTAAAGCTTATTTGCGCTAAATCTAATTGAAAGTGAATGCTGCTTCAGGGTGAATCAATTTGATTAATGGTTGGAACTTTTTTGCGCTTGATGAAACAGACAATTCACTCTGCCCCCACCCCTGCGAGAATGCGCTTTAATTGTCTTCTTAAATTAAACGCCCGCATTTGACTGACAAAAAATTTAAACAATTTCACTTGAATTCAAGCATTAGCAATAATGAACTGCTCGGCAGCAAGAATGAAATGGGATTCACAAGATAGATTCCGCTCCTCACAGAAAATTTCTAAGCTGTGCAAATTGCATGTCTCCCGTCTTGTTATATCATGTTTATTATGCATATTTGATTAAACTCTTTATTAATGTTTATGAATTTCCAATTCAACGTCAAAATTATCAAAAATTGTCAAAAAATTTTCCTATACTTTATGATCAGTTTGGTTAAACCTGCCGAACGTCAGATTGCATAAAATAAGGATGCAGATGGACTTGTCTCCAGCAGCTATAAGATTTGCAGAGAATACTGCATAAATATTTCCTGAGTCAAGCTTAACAAATATCTCCGGCCAAAATTCTCAAGAATGAAATTTCTCCCAGAAATTAATAAGCAATGAGAGCAATAACATGAACACGGGACGTGTGGTGTGAGTAGGGCTTATTTGCGCAAAATATGGTGATTAATTAAAACATGAGCTGCTCTAAGTTGCAGCTACTATTGATTTTTGATTGTGCTCATGTCGCACCTACTCCCTACACGATCGATATAAGGGTGAGGCTTCTGAACTGTTCTGGTGCTCTTGAGATTCATTTGATCAACCATGCCAGTGTCGTGCACTCCACAAATTCCACATGATAAGATCCTTTACAGGACCCTGAAGTCATGCAGCGATACTTTATAACATATTAATTGCTATTTGTTAAATCTGCGGATACTCAGACCCGAAGGAAAGGAAGTGAGATGACCTAAGGCTCAAACGGTAATTTCCCTATTGACAAAATGAAATTAACTACACAGCTTAGATAAGACGATAGATGATTGGCTGCCCTGTTAGCCAATCATCACACAGACGCTTCTCCATATGTAGACATGTATATCCAGATGTTTGTTGGAAACCAATAATCGAACAAACAATAGCAACAACCAATCGATGACTATCTCGTGGTTCTCCCACTTCCAACGAAACTATTTAATGCAAAATATTTGTTTTTTTTTGAAAAACGCTTCAAAATTTTGCCAAATGCACCATGCATTAAGCATGTGCATTTCTGTTTACGTGTAAGACTGACTTTGACTAAAATGAATCATTTGTAGAAGCTTGGCCCATCCAACTAGGCAGATGCCTTAGTATATTAGTTATATTAGCAAACGTGATTAAGGGCAATTAACCGCTTTATCGTCTTTCTATATTGTCCATATATTTGTTAATCTAATTCTCTAAAGAAGGGATATTGCAAAATCTAATTATTTAGTTTTATTTAATTTTGCGGTTTAGACATATTTAAAAAGTTGAAGTTTTCTTGGATTAACAAGAGCATCATTTAAAAACGTAAAAATATTTACTCTTTTTTTTCTTAATTAAATTGCGAACACTTCGCGGATTTTATTCTAAATTTTGAAATATGAAGATGAATATTGCCAATGTAATTCCTATTTTGGTTCATTTGTTGTATTCGTGTTTACCAATTAAATTTGAAAAACAACTTTTGTGAAATGGAGTATTAGACCATTTTATTCGGGCCCCCTTAAAAAATCCCTCATAAAATATGCGCCGAGAGGTGACAATATGCTGCTCCACATTACTGATTGAACCAATGAGCTTGGTTTTTGGGTTCCAAAGGCCTTGAATTTCATCAACCACGTTCGTCGGGACATTGTGCAAAAAATGTTCAGAAATACAAAGGAGTAATAAGTAGCCACATCTGTTTTTATTATGAAAGTTGTAAGACCAAAGCATAAATGCCAATTTCTTAACTGTCCAATTAATTTGATTTGCTTGTATGTGATTAATTTACTCATTTGTAAACAATTTACATTTACAACAATAAACTGAATTTTTATACAGTATTGAAAGCTGCATGGAAGAGAATTAGCGGTCCCTGCGAGAATACATCCAGGCCAGTTAATCTCAAAGTATTCTATGCCGAGAATAACTGATTAGTCGGATAATCTCTCTTATAAATTGCCTCTTTTGCTGTTGCATAATCTATTGGAGCGCTCTAATGCAATAAACATTTCTCTACTTGATTTCAGGATGAGCGCCGCCAAGTCATGAAGAGCAACGTTTGGTTACCCATGGTAAGAAAAAAATAAAATTAAAACTATTTTCTTTTCTTTTTTATCCCCGATAATTTTATTGTCAGTTGTTGTTTGATTAGTGGGCCAAAAGAAGTAGAGTTATATCAGCAGCTACTTCAAGGTCATTTGCGGCAATAGCAAATTATTGCATCGCGGCAGTGTGTAAATGAAGTGGAATTTAAATTAGCGATTGTGCAGTGAAATTAACTAATCTGTAATTTTTTGAAGTTGTCTGGATTTCCTAGTCATGCAAGGATGTTGTGAATGTGGATCCGTTGGAAGATTTTCTTTCAAATTGTTCTGTTTAGGTGTGGCGGGACTATCAGCTAACTTGGGATCCATCAAAATATGGCGGTTTGAAAGTGGTTCGAGTTCCACACAATCGTGTCTGGAAGCCCGATATCGTTCTTTTCAACAAGTAAGTTACATCTAGTTTTTAGTTCTGGACCTAGTAAGCTGGTTTCAGTTATGTAATGCTTAGTCTTGACAAATTCGGATGAAAAGTTAACGCCAAAGCCAACTAAGTGGCCATAACAATAACCAATCACTTGATACTCTTGTCAATTGAACAGTAAAGAGGTAATGTGTAGGTGAATGGAATCCATTCGGTGAATAGTCACCAGCGTGTACTTGATGTTTCATCTCTCAGAGCCCTTTCCATTCACATAGTGCGGAAAGTGTTAATATCTACATATTGATTATCAATATTGATTATATTGAAATTCTGCTAAAACCGACACCTTACTGTAGGTTGAAGATAACATGCACATTTGCGAATCGACGTCTTGAATGCGATCATGCAGACTTCAAGAAGGTACTCTTTTCCTTCGGTGCCTACTTCTCTTGACAAAGGCAGAATCAAAATCTCTGTCTTAGGTACACTAGATTTCTCCGAAAGGGAAGTTGGCTCGAAGTGACTGACTTCGATCTCACAGAGTTGACTTGCGAAGATAATTGGGATAATTACTTTGCGCTTCTGCACTTTAAATATGCTTTCAGTATTGTTCAATTAAGCGACCTACCATTCGCTGGAAGCTAAAATTTCCTTTCCATCTTGCGAAATTGTTTAATTGTGCAAAAAATGTGCAGGTTATTTCTTAAATAGACTCATAAAACGATATCTCGGGAAATGTCGGTCAGTGGCACGTCTGCAATATAACCAGCTCGTCCCC